GTTCGCAACGCGAACGCAGTTCGAACGTTGGTCAGGCGTTCGCAACGTGAACGCTGTTTGAAACGTTGTTGTGGGACGTTAGCCAAAGTGATTTTGAATTGAAAATTTGATTTTTTACGGAAAAATATCTTGTAGAGGCGGTTCTAGATTGAACCGCCCTACAAATCTATTGTTAGGGTAATTTGGTACTCTGTACCGCCTACAAATCGATTATAAAGGGCGGCTATATGGTTTCCCTAAAATATATTTATAGGGATGGCTGGAAACACTAGCCGTCCCTACAAATCGATTTGTAGGGACGGTCAGAGAACCGTCCCTACAAATACATGATTTATAGAGACCCTTGCGTAGAGACGGCTGGACAAATCGCCCCTACAAATAGTCTAGAAATGCTTTTTGACGTAGTGATTAACAAAGGTGAACAAGAGTACGTACTCCTCTATGTTAACCAAAACCTCACAGGCCACATCGATCGGAGATCCTGCACCACCACCATCACCAGCGCTCACAGAAACACCATTAAACTGGGAGGCCTAGCCTCTCTTTTTTTTTTTGAGAGAGAGAGGACTGGGAGGCCTAGGTAACAGCGACAGACGAGTAAAGGACACCTTGGATTGTCCTGGCCTGCACTCTGCAACGTTCAGGTTCTGTGACGCAGGTTAAGGTTGCAGGGAAAGCGACGAGGCGACGCAGCGGCTCTGATATACGGAGTAGTAAAATACACGCCCGGCCCGTGCCTCTGCCGTCTGCCTTGCCTGGTGTCCGCCGCGCCGGTTGTTTGGCTTGGAAACCAAGCGTGCAAAAGAGTTCGGGAGGTGCGTGCGCCCATGCTTCCCTGTTTTTTGAATGAGCAGGCCCCTACTGAGATTTATTGAAAAAAGAACAGAAACAAAACAAAAAGTTCAGAGCTCAAAGCTCAAAGCTCAAGGTTCTTAAGCAGTTCAGGAAACATGAAAAGAAAAGAAAAAGATAAGCTCAATTACAGAATCTGATCTATCCATGAACTGATTCTAGGGATGTATCAATTACAAAAAGAGATGTTCCACAGTTTCTTCCATTGCATTTTCACAGAGAGCACAATTGTAGGTCTGCAAATGCATGTTTTTTCTCCTCAAAAATATTTCTTGTACTCAATCTGTCATGGGCCAATAAGCCCATGCTTCCCTGTTCCTCCCCCGTTCAGACTTTCGGTCTGTACTAGTATATTACTATATTCAAATCAAATTAGTATCATTACTGTTGTGTTGCTCGTAATCAGTTCATTTTTTTCCCAAAAGGAAATGGGCGATCATGTCACAACAGTCACATCGTTGGTGCATGTCTCCGGTTGCCCTGGCAACAGCTGGCTCCACCCAATTAAACTCGCACCACAAATTAGTGTTTTTTTTTCAGAAGATCATGAAGTACCAGAAACTTGGAGAGTACTACTACTTGTTCTTGTATAGGCAAGTATAATTCAGGGTGAGCTATCCAGCTATGAATGATCACTAGAGTACTTGATGATCGATGTCTACCGTCTACGGCTTTTAATCATCAATCGAAATGGGAAACGTGGAATCTCTAGTGACACTCGTGGAATCTGTGTGCCGATCGATGCATTATGCAAGGCGGAGAAACGGCGACGTGAAGACGCAATTAAAAGGATCACGAGACTCACATCATCAGGCCGCGCCACGCATGAACGGTCACCGACGCCGCCATCTCCAGCTGCTGATTGGTCTGGTCTGGTTATTATATTATATACATGTAGGAGTATGTACGACTCCATCGACGATCGACCCTATCGATTATTGTCCTAGAGCAGCTGAGCATGCGTGCAGCACGTCGTGTATGCCTCGCCGGCACGTCGTACGTTCATGATTATGCCAACCTAACCAAGATGTACTAGCAACAATGGCGGCCGCCGGAGCCCGGAGGGACACGTACGTCGGCGTCATGCGCACGATGCCACAGGTGTCGATCGGTCGGCCCGCCCGATGCATGCGCGCGGGCGGCGGCTGTGATTAATGGCCGAGATTGGAGGTCAACGATCATGATCGTACCGCGTTGATGGGGAACGAAGCTAATGCGCTAGCACGTTGGACAATTCGATTAGCACTTCTCAGTTCTAGATTTCTTCTGGAACCACTTGTCTCACTCGTCGAGTCGGAGTAGGCGCAGGTGTGCACCAAACACTGCAGAGCAACACCAAGAGCTCAGACTTCACTGCTTCAGACAGTTGCTTTGGTAGTGCATGTTACTACTAGCTGAAGCTTGAAGGTAAAGGTACTACGCGGCACAGAGATTCTTGGCATCTTTGTCAGTTCTTCACCCATCCCTGTCCCAGTGTCCCTTGCACACCTGACGAATCCCTGCACTTGTCGCCTGAGGACTGAGGTCTGAGGTCTGAGGGGCATGCATCCACCAAGAGCACTGCCTGGTTGGTGATTAGAGAGAGGCAAGCTTTCAGCCTGTTCGCTTGTTGGTTTCAGCCAGCTCAAACCAGCCAGCCAACAGTGTTTTTCTCTAAAAAAAATCAGCACCAGCCAGCCCAAACCAGCACCAGCACCAACCAGCGAACAGGCGAGACAGAGAATGAAACAAAAGGGCATCAGACGCAAGCAGAAATTACTGCCAGCTACAGTAGTCCCCAAAAAATCACTAGGATCAGCGGTTGGTGTGTGTATATATAGATCCATTTCCCTACTAATGCCAATGCATACATATACTACGCTCTCTACGCATGGTGTATTAAGATTTCTGCAGCAAACAACCAAATGCAAAACCAAGACTCCATACAGTCCTTGCAATCATAATTAATACAATATAATATAATATAAAGGCAAGAAAGCTGTCGAGGAATTTAAACGCGCACGCATCTAATCCTGCTGCTTCCTTAATCATCATCGATCTGAAAGCTACGTGAGGGCACCATCGTCGTTACCTCTCACCCGCCAATCACATACTACTACTAGTACTAGATCGATCGGCGGTTGCAGAAAAGCCTGGGATCCAGGCCAGGCGATGCTGTTGGGAGGTCAGCCTCGCAGTTGCAGGTGCCTGGCTGGCTCCAAGCCCTGTATTTTGATTGCGAGCATCAAAGCGCATCGGCGAGACCACGATTGCAAGGGAATAGGGAAACCACGCTTTCGCCGTTAGGTGGCTTAAGCCTTGACTTCGTATTCGCCTCGGTGTCTACTGTCTAGTCTAGTAGTAACAGCACTCGTCGTTGCTAGATCCTGGAGGTCTCTAGATACCTGACGTTTCTGAATTCTTGACGTCTGTTTCTGACTAAATGACAAGGCAGAGAACCTGCCATTTCTTCCTCTATTTCTGTATTGTCCCTGTCTTTTGCTGGTGCTACCTTGGTAGGAGTATTTCCGTGGACTCGGAAGGGCCACAGGCTAACTTCATTTCTTGTTTTTTTTATTTATTTGATTGACTGATGCTCCATTCCATTTCAATTATGTGATGGCTAGTTTGCTACGCAACAGACGAACAGCTGAAGAAGGAGATATCAGGATTAGGGTCTCGCAGGGGTTGTTATTGGACTCAGCTCCCGCAAATGCCGATCAAATCTGGGATCTGAGTACAAAGTCGAAAAAAAAGAAAGTGATATACTCAATAGTAACAAAAGTTGTTCCAAATTCATGATTATATTGTTCTAGTATCTTTTTGAGGAAAATATATTGTTCTAGTATTACAAATTATGTGTTCCAAGTGTTCCATTTGTGTGAATGAAAATTGTTTTGCTATATGGAATCATTGTTCCACATGCCAAATGTATAATATTTGTATAGAAATGTTTCAGATCCAGATTCTCTCAAAAAAATGTTTCAAATGATGAATCAGAATCACTTTACGAAACCGTTTGACAAGTATACTGGATTTAGAGTCATTACAATATATTTTTTTCTGAAAAAAATTGTATAGATAAAAATTTGTCTCAAAAAATTATGAACTTTTATTGTGGACAAAGAACAACTTAACTATAATCCATTTTTTACTTGTTGCATTGGAAAAAAAATACTAGAAAAAGTATTAAACAGAACCAGGAGGAGAATCAGTGCGAAACTACCTTTTGGCCGGTTCGCGTTTGTAGGTAGAAACACTGAATCGTTTTAGTTCTGAATCACGGTGAAAAATAGCGTTTGGAGCAGATTCTGCCGTTCCACTCCTGAAACCAAATGGGGCCTAAATAGCGAGTACAGGACAGTAGGACACAGAATGGGCATCTGTTCTGCTGCGTCGGCCGCCGCATGGCCTGTTAGCACTTTCTCCACTTGGGCCAGTGCCCAACAGAATTAACCGGCCAGGCCCAAGTTTAGACAATGGACAGTTCACAAATGAGGCAGCCCAAAAAGTGAAAGAGATCGACATCTTCTTCGACGTCCGTCCGTGGCTGCGGCTCGGACCTCGCAGACCTGAGCACTCCCCTGTTAATTATAGACTAATAAGGAATAATAGAGGCTGATTGATGGTTAGAATTTATTAGGAAAAATTGGTTCATGATTAGTCCATTGACGGACTAATTTTTAGGGCAGTGATCCAAACGCTTGCACGCACAGGATTTTGTAGAATGTTATTTTTTAGATGAATTTTAAACCTCAGAAAGTTATGAACTTTGGGACGAATAGAGATTCTCTCTGCTTGTGGGCCCCGCCGGTCGGCCGAGGCCAACGTCTCAATGCCCCATTGCCCAGGCAGCTCCGTCAGAAGTCAGAACACATGCCACACGTGATGTAATTATCCTGAAACGCAGGCGCTTGCTGCCAATGCACCGCCTCGTTGTCGTCGGAAGAGGCAGCACGGCATACCAACATACACCATACCAACTGCACAAGGATATAGTACAAATACTACGAGTAGTCGAGTACTAAATTAGGTGCATTCGGCACAGCGCACAACGTTTCAGCATCTACATCTTCCTTTCCTTTTCTTTTATTTTCTTTTCTTTTTGCATCATCAGTAGGAAAGGTTTTGGAGCCACCGAACTAAAGCGTGCTCACATTGTGGTCGTTTCAGAGCAGGTTTGAGATGAGCCGCCGCTTGAGGGTCCTCGAGGTGGACTGGTACGAACGGACCAGGAGGCCGGCGCCGATGCCGACGCCGAGGCAGATGCCCAGGCTGATGCCGACGCCGACCCTCACGCCAGCGGTGAACCATGACAGCTCGCTGTACTCCTCGCCGTCGTCAACCCCGTCGGACCTCGTGTAGAGGCTGCCGTCGTCGTCGTCCGCGTCCGGGTCGGGCTTGTAGCACCTGTAATCCGATTCCTGCACGCGACACGCAGCACGTTTCAGTCAAGACTTCAGAGTGAATACTGAAAGAAACTTCTCTGAATCCAACGCAGGAGGAAAAGAATTGAGCGCACTGTGACAACAAATCAGATTGTACGTACCTCTGGGTGATGCTTGGGAGGCGTTTCTTTCATGTCCTCCACCTGCTCGCCGCACTCCGGGATCGGGTCCATGAACGCCTTCACCTGGCGCCGCCGCCTGAACCGCAGCTGCATGGCCCTGGTGAACACGACCGGCGTGCCCCGGAACACGCCTGCGACGTACACCTCCACCACGGGCGGCTTCGTGTCCCTCTCCCAGCCGCCGCCGCACCCGCACCTCAGGAACCCCGAGCCGCGCTGCGTCGCCACCTGGCACTTCATCACCCAGCTCTTGGTGGTGGCGCCCTTGCTGCTGTCCACGTCGCAGTCGCACTCCTCCAGGATCCCGACGATGATCCTCTCGTCCTTGCTCTGGACCTCGAACCGCACGCTGCCGGACACCCTGACGGTCGCCGTGCACACGAAGGTGGCTTCCTCCGATCTCTTGTCGGCGCAGTCTCGGCGGAGGGCGAATGACACGCTGCTGCCCTTGCCGTTGCCGTTGCCGTTGCTGATGATGCCTGGCTGGCGGTCGGCGCCGCTCACGTCCAGGATGGTGTCGGGAGTGAGCGGGGTGTGGGTGAGGGTGAGAGTGCCCAGCATGGACTCGTCGACCTCGCACCTGCTCACCCTCAGGTAGAAGACTCGAAGTGCCAGGCTGGACGACGGCTCCGGCACGCCCATGGCAGCTTCTGGCTCAGGAATGTCGCCCATGTTTCACAGAATTTTGGGGCTAAGTTGTTCACTCACATGAGAGAAACAGAATCGACCATCTGTTTCAACTCTGAACATTCAGGAATTGGGGCATCACAGGGTACTCCATCTGTACAAGAAAAAAAAACAGTGCAGTGGTTAGATTGGCAGGGCATATTACAGTACAGGCAGTGAGTGATCAGCGAAGAGGCAAGACCCACTAGAACTGTAAGCTATTGACGCATCTCAAGCAGTAACAATTCTGTTCCAACATAAACGGATAACGGATAGCATCTGCTAATTCACATGCGAAGTATCAGGAAGTTCACACACGATAGATGAAACTCTAGGCCTCTAGCTGGGCTCTCTCACTCTCTGAATTAATAATAAATTTCTTCAACCCTCCAAGAACATGAAAGGGGAGGAATATGAATTCAACCTTGCCCTCAATTCTAGGATCGATGCCTCAATTCCTGATTACTGCGTTCAGAAACTGATAGAATCGTAGAATCCTAAACTCTGTATTTTCAATCGCATATTTGCATGGACGAACAGCTTCTGTAGGAAACAGAGGTGGAGAAACGGATTTTCGATTGCGCGACTAAACTACAACCGCGGCCGTAGCCGCAACTAATGATGAAATAAACCTTCATATTTTGCAAGAAGTTGATAAGAAAACGCGCAGTAGGGAAGAGAGAAGAGAGAGGGGACAAATCGTGAATACTTGAACCAGATTGAGCTCCAAGGTTGGGAGATGCCTCTCCTCCTTCGGTCCCTCTCCTCGTTCAGTTCTTCAGTCCTGGGCTCCTGGCAAAGAATTTCTCCTATATATATACTACTAGTACTAGGGATCTTTTTTGGTGGAGGTGAGCTGGTGAGGCCCCGTAAATCCCTCAACTGACACCTCACACAATGCACGCCAGAGTCCAAAACCACCGCTCCATGCATGACAACATGAGCCCCTCTAGAAACCTAGTAGTAGGGAAAATATATATATTGTGCATAAATGCCCATGAGGAGAGAGCGCTTCCGCAGTTCCGTTTCCCCGCCTCATCATAAATCAGCGAATAAATTACCTACCGAAACTGACTGCCACATTTTAATGTGGATTAATTCGCACTAATGTTACTATATTGCAGGTGTTAATGGAAAATAAAGATATCCTATGTATTTTCGAGAAAAAAAATTGTCGGGGCGAATTTATTAGTGGTAGCAGTAATAACATCGTAATGCATGAGCATGGAATTTTGTACCGACATTTTAAATGTCTCAGAAGAGTGCCGTCAATAGTCATCCACGTATGTATAAGAAAAAAAAAGAAAAAGGAAAGAAGTGAAGCTGAGAGCTGAATTTAGGTGGTCGGGAAGCAAAAGTATCCACTGCCGCCTGGTCCAGGTGATCAAGATCTCAAACTAGGTAATGGTAGCGCACTAGTCCACATCAACCAGCTCCCACCACAAAGAATTAGTGACAAAAGTTATGCTCTCATATTATTTTCCAGCACCACAGGCTAGAAAGTTCAACAAGTCGAAATCAAACTTGATTAAAATCTGCTAGACTAGGAACAGGTGGAAAATGTTTAGGATCGCAACAGGGAAACCCTATTTTTCTCTCGAGTTCAGACTCAATCTTCGTACTCCCTCCGTTCAAGAAAAATACAATTCTAGTACACTCATGTTTTATATCTTAACTTTGATTAATTATAGATAAAAAATAATATTTACGATATCAAATAAACATCATTAAATTAATTACATAATGATCATGCTTCGCATTTAAGCCTCTTCTTTTTCTTAAGTAGAAAAAAAATACTTGGGACCTTCTCAGCAATAGAAAAGGACGAACCCAAACTCTACTTGGTCAGGCAAGGCAAGTGAGAGTTTAGATTCACTTCGCTAGGCCAAGTAAGTGAGAGTTTATATTCACTTCGCTATATTGTCCGAGTGGTGGTATATAAATTCACTCAGCTTGATTAGCAAGGTACATACGTGTTTAAGAGCACAGTTTTTGAAGCACGCTACTAATATTCAAGAGACTATGCCATTGCCATTGGAATTCCTACTAAAGCTGAAATATGCCATTTTCTATGCGTGTAGTTGACTTGGGCCCACTAACAGGTGTATGAAGGGGGTATTGTATATGCGTATGGTCTATTTTGCCCCCGCCGACGCCTGTTAGCTGTCTCCGTCTCTCCTCTTCCCTCAACTACCATCTTCTTCTCCCGTTCCAGATCTCGCATAGGCGCCAGCGCGCTCCCTTTGCTCCAGCGTCCTCCCTTCCCCCTCGTTGTTGTCCCTTGTGCGGCCTTGCTAGCACCGTTCCCACCGCGTTATGATTGAGCACATCGCAGGCTCGAACCAAATCACCGGCTTGCCTCGAATCAATTGCCCTAAGTGTGACATCTAGGTGATAATAAGGTGCAAGAGTAAGAAAGATAAGGTGTTCTACAAGTGCCCAAACAACTTTCTGTCGTTTCACTGATTTCTTATGTTTCTATATGGTTGAGCAACATATTTGGGATTCTTTATTCAACAAAATGACATTACGTGTGGGTACTGCTGGTTTGAGGCTGCCTTTGAGGAGTATCTACGCGCCAATCATCCTTCATTGCTAAACCCAGGAGCTGCGGATCCAGTCTAAACAAGAGATGGAGCAGAGGTGAAGGCGACTTGAACATGCAATTGTGTTAGACTCGAGCTCAGTGAGTTGAATGTCAACATTAGTGGTGTGATTATCAAAATCAATGATACCAAAGAATAGATCAGGGAAGAGGTTGTTGGGAAGGGGAACATACCTTTTGCCATGAATAGAGTTACAACTGCTATGATTGTAGATGTGTTTGCTTTATTGGTAATGGCTGTTGTGGCTACTATTATGTGGAAGAGGCCGTGGGAAGAGGTGAATGTATGAAGTTAGTAGCTTCTCATTGGAACGTTATCTAGTTAGTTTAGTTGCCTAGATTAGTTTAGTGGTTGCCAAGTTAATTTGCAATTGGATGTGTTAGTTAGTCAATGGGTGCCCGTGCAATTTTGTGGATGGTAGTGCAGTGCACAACAGCACCAGTTGCCATTGGATATGTAATGAAATGTCTTTTGCAATGAATGAACTATTACTTGTAGTAATATATTGTCTATTTTGAGAAGCACGAGTTATATAGCTGGTATCATTGGACTTATAGGAGCAAAAATATTCGTCTAAAGAAAAAGATCGGAGCAAAAATAGACCATACTCATATGGCATATGGCATTTCCATATATATATATATATATATATATATATATCTAATAGTGGGCCAAAGTCATCTCCAGGCGTATAGAAAATAATAACGTATTTCAGCTTCTGCAGGAGCAGTAATAGTGCGCTTCTTTTATCCGCCCGTGACACCTGCCTCCGTGCGGCTTCCTCCGACTTCCGAGTTCCGACCCACCCGGCGCTCCAGCAGTCCCACGCAGCCGCGCGCCGGCGAATCAGTAGCTTCGCTCCGGCGGCTCCGCTCCCCACGGCCCTGCGACTCCGCGCCCCACGGCCCACGCCCCGGAGACTCCGCGGCTCCGCTCCGGCGCCCACGGTCCAGCGGCTCAGCGCCCCGGCGCGGCGCCTCGCGCGCACGGAGGGGCGTTTCTGGGAGGGCGAAGCGGACGCCCGCGGTCCCGTTTGGTTGGCGTGGAGGCGAAGCTGCTGCTGGAGCGCCTCCAGGAGCGCTACCAAACGGGCACTTACTCATCGGCTTCCGCCGCTGACTAGCGCTCGCGATCTGATCGTTGCCCTGCCAGTGTCCCAGCCAGCGCCGCCTCCTACTCGTAGCCCGCGCCATGATCCAGGCGGTGATGGTCATCAGCACCCAGGCCAAGCCCCGCCTCCTCAAGTTTTATAATTTCCAGGTTCAAGCCTTGTCCTCTCTTCTCTACATTCGTCATCTAGTCCCCTCTCTTTCTTCACCACCCAGCAAGTGCTCGATCAATTTCCCCACCTAGATCAACCACTGCTTCATCCATGGATCCTTTCTTGCTCGAGGAATTACGTCAGCAAAGCAAATATTCCTGTCCTTAATTCATTTACTTAAACGTTTTATGCTTGCAGCCACCCGAGAAGCATCAGGACCTCGTCCGCAGTGTCTTCCAATGTATGCACGGTTCCGTTCCTCATTTCTTCATTATTTTGTATGGACGCTGAGCTGTGGAGTTTATTGTTGCAGTACTCTCTGCAAGGCCCGACAGCGTGAGCAATTTTGTCAAGGTGGACTCCATATTTGGCCCGGTAATGGTTGATGAAGTAGTAAATCTTTGCTAAAGGGACAACTGGTATGCAAATGCTAGCAATGAATGAAAAAAGTTAATTGGTCAGATGCCATTTGTCTCCTTGGCTTCAGATATGCAGATTGGTATCTTAGACATCTGTACGTATGTAATCTAAGCTGTGCTAACTGCCCAGTGGTTAAGTTGCTCTATCTAGGTTAATTTGCTCATATCGACAGAGAGTTGATAAGGTTCGGTTTTCTTCTTTGCGCTTTGCAGGGAACAAAATTGGTCTACAAGCATTTGGCCACACTATACTTTGTTTTTGTATTTGATAGCTCTGAGAATGAGCTTGCCATGCTCGATCTGATACAAGGTAACCTAATGGCTTATTGATGAAAGAGGAAAGCATTCTCATTTTTTCTAAGAAACGAATTATATTCAGTGTGTTATCATGCCATTCATCTGTTTGGCCTGTCTTACTTTATAATCATTAGCTATTTATTCTGCTTCTTTCAGCATTCAATCACCCTTGTAGTTAATATTTTATTCTGTATTTGATGCATTGTTTTTCTGTTACAAAGTACCTGTGAATTTTGATGTAACTATGGTAGCATGTTCTCAACATTCTTCTCTGTTCATCGATTCTGTCTAGCTACTGAAATTTTCACCTTGTACTTCACTGTCACTGAAGACTTGTTTTGTCTTCCTTTTGTCTAAAAAGACTCTTATCAGCTCTGATTCTAGGAGATTGATTACTATATATATGAACTTTGTCTCGTGCACAGTTTTTGTTGAAACATTGGACAAGTGCTTCAAGAATGTATGCGAGCTTGACATTGTATTTAACTTCAACAAGGTACCATATGATCCTACATTTTTTATCTTTTTGTACCAGATAGTGTGCCTATCAAGGATGCATGATTTTTACCCTGCTGAAATTTCCATTTATGATTCTTCAGTTGCATGTTGTGTGTTTTGGGCAGCAAAAAAGGTGGAATGCAGAAGCTTTTCAATGCTGCATCACCAATTTTTTTTTGGCAGCAGTTGGGTTATCTGTATCAAATTAAGCCTTTTGATGCACATGTCATATGCAGTGCAAATCCAAAAGTTTGAATATAACAAATGCCTGACTCCAAGAATCCCTGTTATGCAGAATAGTTATAGCTTTATCTATCCATCTAATTAATTATTGTGGTTGTAATAGACAAGTACACCCGTTCTCTGACTTTAAGGCAACATAGATAGGCTTCAAATGGACGATTTTCCTAGGACATAATATTACGCCAGGTGGAGTTTGGATGACAGCTGCCATAAATGGAGGGCAGTGGGCATCCCTAGGGTAGAGGCCTTGGCTAAGCAGAGAGATAGAGTATAGAACTTGAGATACATAGGATTTTTTTTAATTCCATTGCCTTCTTTGGCTCTGCACTGCGCACATCCTTATGTAGAGGAGAGTCCTCACTCTTCAGAAATTTAAGCTGACAATAGACAGAAACAACCTAAACTATAAAGATAGAATCGTGCATATATTACACAGTAACTTCAAAACTAGGAAATCTGCACCATCCTTCCTACTGCCTGCCCATTATGGCTGCTGCCCACCTTAGTTTGCCACCTCCCAGTGGTGTAGAACTTGAAAAGCAATGAAGGACCATGCTACTGGAGCATATTTTCACGCCTTGGCAATATAATTTTGTTAGTATGCAGATAGTGGTAGCTAATTCTTAACACAAAAGGAGGGCTATGCCAAACTTTGGCCCCTTAGCACTGAACCTGCGGATGCAATATGGTGTTGGTTTTCCCTTGTAACCTGCATTCTCAAGTGTTCAAAGTGAGATGTACTTTGACGTTTATGGATATATATATAAATGCCAGTCTTAAGCCAAAATGCCCCAATTATTCACTCCACTGTTCTTGTGTTTCTTCATGTTCCTTTAATTTAACTGTCAATATCTGATGCAGCTGCACACAATTTTGGATGAGATGATACTGGGGGGACAGGTGATCGAAACAAGTTCAGAACAAATAATGAAATCTGTGGAAGAGATTGAAAGGTTCTCCTCGCTGCCTTAACCCCTCCATATATTGTCTACACTCTTATATGTCTCTCATGCTAATATGACTGTCCATTACTTGACACAGACTGGAGAAACAATCGAGCACAACCAGCTTCATACCCAAGTCGATTACAGAGCGTTTTACCCGTTAAGCTTCCACTCGTTTCCAGGACACTGAGCATTTAGGTGTGAACAGAACTGAGAAGACATACCATTCAGTCTCATTTTACCCGCTGTCCGGCTGGAATGATTTCCCAGCCGATGCTGCTGCTAGCGGCTGAAAATCCAAGACAGAAAACACTGTTGCTTTTATATGCTTGATCGTCTGACAGTGCTTGCTGAGGTTCAGACAACCATCAGTAACAAACTAGCAATATTATAGAGGGATCGCTGGTCTCTCACTTGCGTCTTGTATCATGATAACTCAGATCACTGTAATTTCTTTTCAACCAGACGTTGTTGCCCATTCAGATTTCCCTTGGGTTTCATTTTTTTTTGTTTCCTCTCGGCTTGTATGACAGTTATCAATTTTTTTTTTATCATTGTCAAACAATCAGCGTGTGCCAGCTCACACACTTTGTCAATTCATTAGCTGATTCATCTTATAAAGAGGAGGTCCAATTCACCGCTTTAATTTTAAACATGATACAATTTTTGAAGAAGTGAGAAGATAGACTTGTGCTGTAAACCAAGCTTGATCTGAAGCTTTAAAGTTTAAACCCGTATGAGCTGGTATCCCAGCAAGGTAGCAGCACCCATTTGTTTTTTCCGTAAAGCTGGGTCAAATGGTCTTGTATATAAGAATACAATTTTTTTATGAATGATATAAAAAAAATAAAAGTATTGAACGCAAGTAATCATAACAACAATAAACCGGCCATGATTACTCTTTGGCCCAGCTTAATAAACATGGAGACAGGTTAGATGAGATAGTTATGTGATCGTATTTTTTATTTCCTGATTGCGGAGTACAATAAGTGCAAGTGAAAATTTTCTAGCCATCCGGTCTGTTGCAGCCGATGGCTGATATTTTATTCATGCCCGTCGAACAATATTGAGATCTAAATGTAAGTAGATCTTTGAATTGAGTCAGGTTGCTCACCATTCATACAGCAAACCAAAACTAGGTGCTGAGCTTCCAGCCGCATTTCCCGTTCCCATTCCCATGAGCGATCCTGGCGGATGCGCCGTGCGGCGGCCGCCGACGGCAGCGGAGGTGGTGGGGCGGCTCAAGGACGATGGCGACTTCGATGCTCTCCGCCGCGCCATCGTTCGGAAGGTCAAGGACAACGTAAGCTTCCCCATAAACGTCAATTCCCCACATCCATAACCCCAATTATTGCGATTTCGTCGCTCTTTAGTCCCTAATCCTGAGCAGTGGAACTTTGATGCGCATGCCACTCCTTTTCATTCTCCAGTGGATAGCTCATCGCCGTTACTTAATTCGATACTGGGCTTGATTGTTTGTAAGAGATTGGAATGGAATGGGTGACGATGCGGAGTGTAGGGTCTCGCCGGAATTTCGTCCGTTTGGTCTGCTGTAGGCCTTAAGATTACGATGCTATATAGGGAGCACTTTAGATCGAACCCTGATCGAGGCGTGCGTGAATGGATCCTTTCCTTGGCAGGCTGGTAGCTCTCTGGACAACTGCAGAACTTTGTTAGCATTGAAAGTATTGGCTTGAGTTAGACATAGATCATCTGTGTTGTGTCTTGGCCTCTTGGGTGAACTACAATATGAGAGTTCTGGGTTCTGGTGTTTTTTTAGTTATGAAATCCTAAGGTTCTAAAATTGTCTGATTCGATGCTTGTTACAAAACGTTTCGAAATTGTAATTTGCAGGATGGTGGAAGAGAACTCGGAACATAAGAGAGTGTATGTACCCTTTGTATTTATGTTATTCTATATGCTGCATTTGGAAGGAGGAAGTTTCAACTTTCAAGAGTTTCCCTCTATCTGACGTGTGTAAAGGTTCTCCAAAAGTTTCCCTCTCTCCGACACGTGTAGAGGTTCGCCAAAGTTTCTATGATAGGAAGGTGTACATCTGGATGTAGTTTGCATGGGAAAATGGAAGGGTCAATTGTGAGGAGGGTCTTCACATGCATACACATGATTTTTTTCCCCTATTTGTGTTTCAATACCTCAGGGATGTGCAAATTTGGCGTGCAAGGAAGATAAACATGCTTCGTGCCACGCCGCTATAAGACCAATGTTTTCCTTTTTGTCGTATTAAGATTGTGCAAACGCTTGGCCTGCCACTTCCAGCACGTGCAATAGGCTTGCGACGCAGCATTTATTAGGACTATGAATGGAGTGGAGAGTTGAATCATCCACCATTAGGATGGCTATTCAGTGACATGCCAAACATGGTTACAATAGATTAGTGCTTTTGATGAGTAACAGATAAATAATTTTATGAGCTTGTCACAATTAGCTGTGGGCCTTGCCATTCTAGTTTTACCTTGTTGAGCTGCTGCAATGTGGGTGACTAGAGATAAAAGCTCAAATAAGTAACCACAATTATCTGAAACTGCAACACCAGTTGTAGAGCACCAATTGTTTGAGTCATGTGTCAGGGCTATTGTCATGGGGAACATTTGGTATTACCTCTGGTGATGTTGCATTATTATTATTCGGTCATCTGTTGACAAACGTGAAACACTAATCTGTATACTTTTGTCATATATACAAATGTTTTCAGCATGACGTTTTGCTTTGTTATCAATAATTCGCATTTCCTGGCCAGACAGGGTATTGTACTCCCCTACCTTAGAAACAAAGCCAGCCAACCAGGGAGAGTAGGAGACATCTCTCTTGACGTAGTCGAGATTTTTTTTATCTATAATTATGAGCCATGCTGATTGCCCGTTGCTCAACTTCATTTCAAATTGTTCTAGTTGTATGATGAAAATGGCCTCTTCTTCATAGTGACTTTATTTATGTAAGCTGGGGCAAAAGAAGTTTCCTTTGTATAAGAAGCATGTGATGTCTATCTTTTTTCCTTTTTTGATTGAGCATGAAGGGTTTGTTATCTGGGTTATCTATGCATAGTCCTTTCAACCATGTTTATCGTACATTTAATTGATTTCGTCTGATTGCAGATTAATTACAGTTCTTCAGTTGCATCACGTCTCTTGGGCAATTTGAAATTTGTGTTAGAGTATCTATTTCACCATGCTAGGTGGTGTATACTCTGCTTACATGGCCAGCATCGTGCTCAGTAGATGTAGATTGCTGATAGTGCATAGTGACCTTTCCTTTGTTCATCGGATATGGCATTAGTGGTGTGGTGCATACTTCTATAAGTTTATATGGCATGCTATCTTTCTTGCAGGAGGTACTACGCAACAAAATCATCTCCGAGGTAAAGCAGTCAGTGGTTCTACAAGAAGAGGGATCCGAGAGGATGAAATTAAAAGACCTATCTGATGCAATTTTTCAAGATATTGGGTAATTTGAGCCACTTCTTTGTAAAAGCCTTCAAATGTATCACTTCTTAAATTCTCATAATAGATGTTGATTACTAACTCAAGTTGTTGCAAAACTGCTCTTCTTCATTATCAGGGGCAAAATAATGGGTGAAATCTCAGATGAGGTGTGGAATGTCATCCAGTCAAATGAAACTGATATACAGGGAACTGTGAAAGCCGTCTACAATAGGATACTGAACCCTGAAAGAATCCCTGAGCCTTCTTCCAAGAAGCTGAAGCGGGAAGGCAAAGATGAACAAGTTTTACCAACAAAAACAGCAACAACAGTTGCAGTCGAGGCGGAAGATGATGATCCGGATGAACCACCGGGGTTTGGTTTTGGCAATACTCAGCGTAAGCCACCGATGAATTTGGAAAATCGCAATGAAGCGAAGCCAAATGGAGGTGAGCCAGCTGCTATCAGCAATCCAGGGGATGAGGACGATCCTGAAGTGCCCCCTGGATTTGGTTAATGCAATTCATAAACTTCAGTGGCAGTGCAGCGGTTTCTTTATGAGCAATATACAAGGGAAATGTTTAATTTTCTGTTGTCAGGAAGAGGAATGCTTTAGCTCATGTCTGCGACTTGAGAGGTACCACAGTTGAAACCCGTGTAATGGTGGCTAAGTCCATGCAGCCGCAGGATATCTTTTACTGTGATGCCGTGATGGTGGCAAATATGTTGGGGCCTGACAACGAGTTGGTTGTGTGCGTAGTTTCTGACTCTCTGTTTCTGTCCTGCTTTGCTTGCCTGCTTGCCTCCTCTGAGTTGCTAGTTGCTTGTAAATGTTGCAAGACGGGGAGAGTAAATGTATCATGGTGAGGTAGCTTTGAAGCCCATGGGCTATTTTGTGCATCGCCGAAGGAAGAGTATATGTTCTTGTGAATTTCTCGTAACAAAATAAGATTGGGGCTCTTTGGAACACATCATTCTTAAGAGACAGGAATAGGAAAAATACAGGAACGAAGCTGCGTATCATTTGTGTCCTACTGGAATTGAGAATGCTGGAAAGTATTTAATGTGGCGTTTAGAAATGACACAGGAAGATTCATAGAAGAGATAAGGAACACAGGAAAGTTTTCCAAGAAGCTGGACATAATGTGAGAGGTCCTCTAAATTTTCTGTGAATTTTGTGGGGATGGTCAGTCAGTCCATTTCAAAGAGACGTATGATATAGGATTCAAATACTGCATAATCCCTTAATGAACCCTGTGTTCCCTTAAGAAGATTGGACTATAGTGATGTGGTGGGCAAATTCAGCCAGTCTGACACCTACGTTTTGTGGTGATTGCCATTAAATATCCGAGGGTAGCAAATGCTTGTTAGGTTGGTTCATTTTTGAGAAAGACCATCAGGTGTTAGCTCAGATTGAGCGTCACATAAGGGATGAGAAGTTTGAAAACCCTGTCCACGAAACAAGGGATAGCATTCAACTCTTCATCACCCGGCCACAGGAGGAGGCCATGGGGCCAGCGGCTCAAAAGCTGGATCCGTCAAAAACTGGAAAACGCTTCGCCTGAGCTCTTCATTACACCAGGGCAGGCGCTCCAACATGAATCATCGTAGTCGCAGTCCGCCGAAGCCAAACTCGAACGCATCATTGATCCTAGAGGAGCCCTACCGCCAGTCCGCCACCGCCCACCGCTGCCTGCTACGTACGACGACGACAAGCAGCGGTAAG